ATGAGGGGGGATTTGATAGCTGCTTTCAACTACCTGAGAGGTGGTTCCAGAGAGGATGGTTCTAGACTATTCTCAGTGGTAGAAGAGGACAGGACAAGGAGTAATGGTCTCAAGTTGCAGTGGGGGAGGTTTAGGTTGGATATTAGGAAAAACTTTTTCACTAGGAGGGTGGTGAAACACTGGAATGCGTTACCTAGGGAGGTGGTAGAATCTCCTTCCTTAGAAGTTTTTAAGGTCAGGCTTGACAAAGCCCTGGCTGGGATGATTTAATTGGGGATTGGTCCTGCTTTGAGCAGGGGGTTGGACTAGATGACCTCCTGAGGTCCCTTCCAACCCTGATATTCTATGATTCTATGATTCCTCCTGGCCCCCAGCTTTCCCTCGGTGCCTCCCCAATATCTGCCACTGCTCCTGGCAATAACAGCAAGTCACGTTCACTTGGGTGGATCAGCAGCAAGAAAGTTACCGTCGGCCTTCAAGCTGTCACCTCAGCCCTTATTGAGATGAGTGGGTGCACGTCACACTTCCCGGAGCTCTTGTGTCAGGGTGTCTCCAGCCGGCAGGGTTTATCTCCACAGCCAGAACAACAACTTTTAAAATAAAATACATTCTGCAGAAACGGATGGGAGCTGAGGTCGTCCAAACCCCCAGCATAGCACTGTCCCGGTGAAGAAGGCCAGTCATTATGACTGGTGCAGGTAGCGATGCCTGGAGTTGAAGAAGCCTGACACTTTCCATTGCAAGATCCTGTTTTCAGATCCTTGATTGTAGTCTTGTGCATTCCCAAGCGTTAGCTTAGTCTTTGATGGTGTGAAATTTACCAGATGATGCTGGTGAGTGAATCTCTGCCAACTGCTCTCTCATATGGGCCTCCCCAGGAACACCACCGGCAGCTCATAAATTATAAATCACCCTGATGCTTCTGGTAGGGGATGTTGCCTGGAGGCCTGTCTTCTCCTGCTAAACTGTTCTGCTTATAAAGGTGAAGCCATTCAAATGAAGACTCCCCATTCCAGACCTTGAGGAAGCAATTAAGGAGCAATGATGCAAATATTTGTGCTGCAGTCGGAGGGGTTGGCTAATTGCCTCCCCTTAAATCTGTTATCCCAGGCTTTTGTCCTGGAGTCAAATTAACTCTTTGCACTCCCAGCCCCCTCCTGTTAATGAATAAAGAGGAAATTGTGGAGCAAATGATGGAAAGATTTGAAAGAGATAGAGGCTGCCCTGCATTTGCTAGCTAGACTTGGTCTGCAGCACTCCTGCAACACCGATGCTAGGATGTAGTCAGGTGGACCATCGGTGTCCTCTCTCTGTGGTCTAGATGAGCCTAGGGCCAGATCCTCAGCTGCTGTAAACAGACGTAGCTTTATTGAATTAAGTGGAGCTGTCAGGATCTCACCCACAGTGGTTAAAATACTGGTGTCCTGCCTGTAACAGCACTCCCACCATCCCCTACTGCGCCAATGGGAAAGCTGAAGAAAAATGCCAATTGTAGGCAAAGCCAAAGTAGGTTTAGTTCCTATTTTGTGACAATGTTATGAGCTTCCTCAGGGAGACTTGCTGGTATATTGAATTGCAACACTTAACATTTGAACCCCCAAATGCAATGCCAGTCTCCTTCCTACCGAAAATCCTCAATGAAGGTAATGTTACTGATGACGTTATTTAATCTCAAAGGGCTTTTACCTTCCATGTTGGCTCACAATCACTTTCTTTAAGCTTTAAATATTCCTCAATTTCTTGTGACTGTTTAATCTGCCTAACTTTAAACTTCTCATTGCTTAGATACTACGCCGATGGATAGATATAAATACTGCTGCCAACTGTCAAGACAATGAATGAGACAATGCCCCTGATAAAAATGTAACACGGTATTAGATAATAAACAGTATTAGATAATAATGGTCCCAAATGCTTCCTATTATATTGTGGTGATCTGGGGCTAGAACACTGGCGGGTTTTTTTTAAATAGAAATATGGGCCTTGAATGAATTTGGCCTAATGTGCTAATTCAGATTAAGATCTTTCTGGTATGGCTCAGCCTTCACTTTCCAGAGCGTGTCAGTTGAGGGCCTGCCAGTTTGAGACTTTAACATTCCATGTTCTGTCTGCTGTCCCTGGATGTTTAAAAATCTCTTGGCAGTTTTCATATTTGTAGCGGTTTGTCCAATATTTACCAAAACATTTCCCTCCTACTCCTGTTCTGTAGGGTGTTCGTGTCAGTTGATCTCCTGGTTGGTGCACTCCAGAAGTGGGCAGCCATTCGGGGTGGTTTCCTCAAGTCCCTGTCCACTTTGGGGGTCCAGAAGCTAGAAAGCGGCTATGTTTATTTAAACTAAAAATCTTATTTACCTCTCCAATTAAGTTTCTTTTTCTCTTTCCCCTTCTTTCTCTTGTCAATGTTATTCCTTCAACCAACAGGGAGTTTCCATCCCATCTCAACCTAACTTTTAGAATTAACTGAAAATAGTTCTTTGGTAACATCCACTTCCTTTTTTGTGTGACCAACTTTTTAATTAACCTTATGTAACTTCAGTTACAAAAGAGGAACCTTTTGGGGGGTGCCATTTCAGCTACTTGCCAGGTGGTGGCGCTTTTTAATACTGTAGTCCTGTCTGGGATAAATCAGAGATGCTGATCCAGTAAGAAGTTTGGGGGTGGTGGTGGGTATTGGTGGGATTTGTTCATTACGTTGTATTCCATGTAGATTTGATTGTAAATTGGTTCTGGATTCAGTGTGGGGTCTTGATCTGGTACGGGCCATTTTAGTACCTGCCTGTTGCTCTGTGAAAAATAATGGAAGTGGGATTAGCTTGAAGTGTCCCCTATACAGCAATGTGCATTGTTCAATATAAAGTAGCTGAGATCAGCTGCGGGCAGTACCCACGCTCTGTATTCCCTTGAGTAGGTGATCATTTTTCTGCCTGTCTTAGGAACAGGTTTATATGGCCCCTCTTATCAGCGTATCTGAGCGCTTTATGATCTTTTAAAATATTTGATCCCCACAGTACCCCTGAGAGGTAGGGATTATTGCCATGTTGCCAATAAAGAATTGAGGGACAGAGGGTATGTCCACATGGGGATAAAAGCCTCGGAACCCGAGTTAGCTGACCCAAAGCAGCTGCCGGATTTTTATCCCCACGATGTTGTAGACATACCCCGAGAGGCTCAGGCTCAGAAACCAGTGGGAGCTAGATGCCAACACACCTTTGAGGATCTGGGGTCATGCATAGCGCTCTAACCGCTGCACCATCCTCCTTTCACCTCCCACTCCGGAAGCACTGAGAGTTCTTGGACCCTAGTTCATCTTCATGACAGGACATTAGCTGCATTTGAGAAGAAATTTAGTTCTTTAGTGGAAATAAGAGTATTCTCTGGAAGGATGAATGGACGTAAAGCAGAAGGCTTCCAAGCATGTGTCAGTCCAAAACTGAATGGGGAAGAGGGTGCAAATGACAGCTGGAGCGTGTTGCCTGAGTTTAAAACAAGACAGGGAAGTACCAAAGTGTTCTTTAGTATTTAAAGGTTTCAGAGGAACAGCCGTGTTAGTCTGTATTCGCAAAAAGAAAAGGAGTATTTGTGGCACCTTAGAGACTAACCAATTTATTTGAGCATGAGCTTTCGTGAGCTACAGCTCACTTCATCGGATGCTCAAATAAATTGGTTAGTCTCTAAGGTGCCACAAGTACTCCTTTTCTTTTAGTATTTAAAGAACAAATCAATATATGCTCCATGCACAGCATTCCACCAAGAGATTTGCCTAGGAATTTGCAAACTCCATCTTTGTATTAATGGGAGAAACTTCATGCCTTGAACAGGCCTTTCCTCTCTAACTACTGTAATCCTATGTGTTTGTTTCTTAAATGACATGCTACATCCAACAGCCTCTGATATTCAACCAACCAACCACACACCATGCAAATTTAAACCTTTTTACAAAAACAAATACACATGATGACACAAATAGTCAAAAAATATTAAAATAGTGTCATTTGCAAGCTCTATTGCGACAGCATAGGCTCCGCGGTGTGGACATAGGCGTAATAAGTGTCCCTTGACTATGCTGCCCTAGAAATTTATTCTGCCACTGTGGGAACGCCGCCTCCCTGAACACAGTTAGCTAGGCCTACAGTGCTCTTCTGTCTGCGGAGCTGCGTCTACCCTGGGGGCTTTGTCAGCACGGTTATATTGGGCAGGGGGGTTTTGTTTTTATATCCCAGCCTGACAGAGGCTCTGTAGTAGACATAGGCTATGTACAGCCCCGTGCACAACAGTGCCCAGCTCTCAGCTGGGACCTCTCAGTACAATATAAACAATCAACTCATGAGTAAGTCAGGCAACTAACTTTGCAGAAAAGTGAGTATACACCGAACACACTACTCTGAGGCAGGATCCACCGCTCCCACAGCATCAGCCGCTGAACTACAGGCTAAAAGTCTCTCAAACGCTTGCTTTTACTTTGCAGGCCTTCAGCGCTCCTTAGATCGCCAAGCGTTTTGTTTGTTTTTTTTGAAGCAAAGCAAAGCTAGCCTTGTTTGTAGGGAGGGAAAAGGAGTCACAGACAGGTCAAGCCCGAGTCGGTACCAGAGCTGGGGAAGAGGACTCAGGGCTCTTTCATCCACAGCTGCCCTAAATCTGCTAGGGCTGAAAGATTAGCCAGGGGGTTTGTGTCAGCGTTGGGGGCGGTCACTTTGGGCGTGTTTCTAGTGCAGGGGAGAGTCAATTGCTCTTTCAGTGCCGGCGAGTAAACGCTCCCTGACGCTGCCCCCGGGAAGTGGGCTGCGGTGGGACCCCCAGGGCCGGCCAGGGCTTGGGGCCGTCGGCTGCTCCGCCGTGCCGCGGCCGGGGCCGGGAGGGAGCTGCCGCCGGAACAGCTGAGCTGGGCGGCGCGCCGCGGTGATTTACACGGGCGCGCCCCGCCCATTATGCAAATCCCAGCCCCCTGGTTGGGGGTCCGCGTGCCGGTGGCGGGGCCAGCCGCTGCAGACGGGATATAAGGCGGTGGGGGAACAATGCACCGGAGTCCCAGCTCGGCCGCTGTGATCGCGGGAGGCGGCCCCGGGGGTGCAGGCTGCAGCCAGAGCGAGCCGCCCGCTTGGAGCCACCGCAGGACGCCGCTGGGGAAAGGTGACTCCAGGGGGGTGGGTCCTGGGGCTGGGCCCCCCCGCTCAGGGGCTGTAGTTTGGTGACCCTGGGAAACTTGGAGGCAGCGCGGCCCCCCCCCCCCCCCCAGCGCCTCTGCCTTGCTCCAAGCCGGCCAGCAGGGACCGACCTGCTTGTCACTTACCCGCCCCACGTGCGTGGGGGGCCGCTGGGCAGCGGGTGGGTGGGAGCAGCTCCGCGCGTGGGGGTGCGCAATGGTCTCCATGGGGGGGGGGTGACTCCGGTTTAGGGCTTTGGGGTCTCTTGTGGGCGCGGTCAGCTCCCCGGTGGGTGGGGGATTGGGACCCCCTTGGTGGCTGCCTTCAATGGGGACGTGATGACACACGGGAAGATGCCGCGAACGCCCCGTCATTACAGATTGGGGGGTGGCCACGCTACAGTGGCTGATGTTGGGGTGTTTCCCTGCCTGGCTTGGGGCGGGGGCTTACCCCCCCCCCCGGGTTAGGAGCGTGCCCTTGCCTGCATGATGCTGACCCTGCGCTTTGGGATCCCCAGGCGTCCCGCTCCCGAGATGGAGTTCGACTCTTACCAGCATTACTTCTACGACCACGACTCGGAGGAGGATTTCTACCGATCCACCGCCCCCAGCGAAGACATCTGGAAGAAATTCGAGCTGGTGCCCACTCCCCCCACGTCGCCCCTGTGCAGCGCGGCAGGGAAAGCCTGTTGCCCCGGGGCAGAGGAGAGGTCAGACTGGCTCTCCCACTGCTGCCTGGCCGGGGAGGAGCCGGAGTATCTGATCGGCACCGGGGAGATCTTCGGGAACCTGAGCGCCTTCGTCCTCCAGGATTGCATGTGGAGCGGCTTCTCCGCCCGGGAGAGACTGGAGAAAGTTATGACCGAGAAACTCTCCACGGGCACGCAAAGGGTTAATCCGCCCAAGCCCTCCTTTGCCCAGGAGTTCGGGTTCAACAACTCGGTGAGCGAGTGCGTGGATCCTGCTGCCGTCTTCCCCTGCCCCTTGGCCGAGAACAAACCCCCCCCCGCCGCCGCCCCCGGGGCCGAGAGGCGCTGTGATTCTGGTAAGGGAGTAGCAGAACGACCCACGCGTTCCCTTGCTCCAAATCAGGGTGTGGGCTGGTCCCAGCAACCCAGTGAACTTCCCGCTTTCTCCAGCATTGCAAAACCGCTCTCCCGTTCACACACGGGTGTTGGTAAACAGTCTGGGACCGGCGCTCTGGAAGCCCAGCCCCCTTTTGTGGGGACTCCAAGCTAGCGTAAAGCCCACGGACAAGAACAAAGGGAAGCTGAACCGTCTCTTTCCCGCTAGGATTTTTGCTGGGGAAACCCCTGCCCTTTGCAGGGAGGGGGTGGCCCTGGAGGGACCCCGGATTCCAGATTTCTGCTGCTTTAAAAAAAAAAAATCTTTCCCTCCTGCTGCGAGACAGCGCTGGGGAACGCGCTCTGAGCCTGGAAGCTCGCTGCCTGGGGAAGTTTGCAGCTCGCTTTAGATCCTGTGGCAATGCTTTCCATCGCAGCCATATTGCTGTTCTTTCGGCTTGATTTGGAGCACCCAGCCTGAGGTGCTCTCCCATGACTAGGTTTCAGCTGATCGGGCCGCTCCCCTTTGCAGCCTGGCAAGGAAAGTCTGTCTCTGAGGGCCTCCTAGGTCATAAGGCAAAATCTGTTTGTGGGCTTTGGCCGTCACAAAATAATTGTTCACGTCTCTGGGGTCATCCCGCGTACTGGTATGTGGGGGGGAGGCAAGCGACTAGATGCATCTCCTAATTCTTCGTAGCACCCTAGCGCTGCCTCTGCAAAAGGGTCCTGTCTCCTTGGCCCTGTCCAGTCTCCCAATCTAGGGAAACTGGTCTAAATACTAGACTGAGGCTTGAAGGTGAAAAGTGATAAAGGGAATGGTGTGTCAAGCCACCAAAACTAAGTCTGAACCTTGATCTGTAGGGGTGGAAGTTTCATGCATGCAATTCTTTAATTTTTTTTTTTTAAAAAAGCCCTTGTCTTAAATTTGTTGCTTAATGGTAGGCAAAAATCCTCCCAAATCAGCAATTTTTTTTCTGCTCCTTCTAGAAATGAACAGTTGGCGGTGGTGTGATTTCAATACACCTAAACTCGGGGCAAGATTTAAATGACTGCCCTCTGAAACGAAGGGGGTATGGTGGAAGTGCTGACACAATCTTGGGGGTGCAGGGCTAGACACCTCATTATCTTCACCCTAATACTAGTCTGACTGATGAATCAGGGATGAGTAATTTGGTTATGACTCATTCCAGGGATGAGGATAGCTGGGCCAAGAAGCACCTTTAGGACTAAGATTTAATTACATTAGGATGATGGAGATAGTAAGGAGGCTGCGGGATCTAAAGGGCTTAATCTCAATTAGTGGGGGGGATGGACGGACGACTGAATTCATTATTTCTACTTTCATGTTGCTACTTTGCTGACCTGCTCTTTACCTGATCTGAATCCAGGGCCCTTGAGCACATGCTCCTGTCCACATGGTCCCAGAACAAAAAGCAACAGATTGTAGCAAACAATGAGGGGGGCCCTCAGTGAGTGACTCAGGCATTGGCCAATGAGGGGTGGGAAGCTTTGCAGTAGCAACATTCCAACTGCCTGCTGAGGCAGCCAATGGCCACCTGGCTGGGAGGTGGGGCCCAGCCCGTCAGATTTTTATTAATGGAGAAATGATACTATTGTCTACACAATGGAAGTTTGTGACAAAAGAAGGGCATAAAAAGTGCACCATACAAAGCAACCAGGAAATAGCATTGAATATCAGGAGGGGTGGGGGTGTGTGTGTTCTAAAACAATAAAACCACAGTAGCAAATTCTAGACTGCTGATCACCAAGTGGTGCAAGACCTCTGAAGGATAATCTCTCTAGCATTAGGGGCACATGGGAGACGATGCGGTCTAATGCATAGAGCGGAGGATTGGGAGTCGAGCCCTGGGTGCCTCTCCTCTGATTTAACAATAATCTGTTGGCATGAATAGTATTGGCAAAATGCAAAAAGACAGACCTCCACTATCTGCTAGGCTAGAGCTTCACTCTGTGTCGAGGGTCTTATTCCCTGATGAGCTGCGTGACCGTGGGCAAGTATATTAAACAGCTCTGCCTCTGTTTCCCCAACTGTGAAATGAAGGCAATACCCATCTCATGAAGTGTTTTGACCGAGTGAAAGGCATTGCTAATGCAATGTATTACTAAGCCAGTTGGAATGCCATGCGCAAGGGATATGTGCTTTCTTTTGAGCTTCACAATCTCTTTGGGAAAGACCAAGTGACTTTGGGAAGTGGCGGGGAGTGAATTTATAGTAGCTGCTGTAATTCATGGATGGCTAGAGTGGAGTTTTAAAGAGTTGGGTCTGTTCCTCTGTTTACAGCTTTGATAACCTTTCCCCTCCAACCCTTTCTTTAAGGTTGAACATGTTTAGAGGTGGTGAGGGGAGGAATGTTAAATGGTGGATGGCTTAGAGGTTCATTGAGCTGATGGCAAAATGTCCCCTCTCCCCACTGTGTAAGAGGGGAGGATTGTCTCTCTCCATCTTCTCTCTTTTCCCCTCCTCTCCCCATTCAGCTGGAGGGGGGGGAATACCAGGGTGGGGGATGAATAGGATTTATAACTTGTGAAAAGTAACAAAAAGTCACTAAAGTGCGAAGCTGCAGTGAACAGGAACAAAGGGCAACTCAGCCCCCAGATCCCTCATTTACAATTCCAATGGGCCATGAAAGAGCCCGACAAGCAGGAGGCGGGGGGGGGGGGGAGATCTTCAACTCTGTCCCCAGCCACTAAGGCTCTTGCTCCCCTCCTTTCTGCTGGGGGAGGTGAGGACTGGTGCAGCAGTGGGAGCTGGGGTGCAGGAATTTCTTGCCTGTTGGGTCTTTGCTCTTAATGAGTGTTGCCCATAGTGTGTAAGGGAAACAGTAAAAAAAAATCCACATCCCATTTCCTGGGACACGGAGCCTGAAGCTAAGGAGAGAAATCTCAGTCCTATGACTGGGATTAGGTGATGTGGGATCGACCATTTCAATCATCCTTCTGGGAGCAGAATTGTTTTGTTCAATGCACTGCGGGATCCATGCAATATGATCCTCTTCCTGATAAGTTTAACCTAATCTCCAGAACATAAAAAGGTACTGGAGATCCATGCACCAGGCATGGTGCTGCACCATGGTCTCTTCCTTGGGCATGTCGCTGCGCCATTCTAAGAGGCTGGGCCAAGGGGTAGCTGAAGGGAATAGTTGAATGATTCCAAGTGATGGGTTGTTTTGCTTGCGTCTGTTTTGAACAGAGGGTGAAGAGATTGATGTGGTGACAGTAGAGAAGAGACAATCGCTCAGCATGAGGAAGCCGGTCACCATCACGGTGCGAGCCGACCCCCTGGACCCCTGCATGAAACACTTCCACATCTCCATCCATCAGCAACAGCACAACTATGCTGCCCGCTCTCCACCAGACGCCTGCTCCCAGGAGGAGGCCTCGGAGAAGGAGATCAAGGAGGAGCCCCTGAGCAGCCCAGAGCAAGCCACAGAGAGTTCATTGCCTGAGCCTTGCTTGCTGAAAACCGGGAGTGCCCCGAGCTCAGATAGCGAGGACATGGCCAAGAGGAAAAACCACAACTACTTAGAACGCAAGCGGCGAAACGATCTGCGCTCACGCTTCCTGGCACTGAGGGATCAGGTCCCCGGTCTGGCTAACTGTCCCAAAACCCCCAAAGTGGTGATCCTGAGCAAAGCTTCAGAGTACCTGCAGTCGCTAGTTAGTGCAGAGAGGAGGATGGCTGCAGAGAAAAGGCAGCTGAAGTTGAGACAGCATCAGCTGCTGAAACGAATCACCCATCTCAAGGGACGTTAGCTACCAAAAACTCGACACCTTTCCAATATTGATTTGCACATTTTTGGTTATTGTGAAACCTCCAAACTACATATCCCAGAATGCACTGCAGCCAGCGCACACAAATATGGCTTGCGTTCTAGGAAATTTAAACTGTGTGTGCGGGGGGTGGGTTCTTTGTCTCCCTTATCCACGTCTGGTCTTGGGTTCCTCCTTTAACAGAGCAGGGAGTTGCCAGCTGTGGGCTGAGTTAACTCTTAGCCTTTGGGGATGCTGGTATGTTGGCACCGGAGTAATGTAGACACTGGATTTTGCAAGACCCTTGGGCTGAAATTTTCAAAAGTGACCATTGAGTTTTGGGTGTCTTATTTTGAGGGTGTCCAGCTTGAAGCACCTGGGCCCTGACTTCCAGAGATGCTGAGCATCTGAACAGAGATGTGGAACAATGCCTGCTGAGGCCTACAGGAGGTGCCTCTGAACTTCAGGCCTCAGATGCCTGAAATTGGGCACTCAAAAATTGAGGCCATTTTCCAAAATAAGGGCCCGAGTGGACAACCCTAACCTAGAGATGGCAGGATCCTCCTTCAGACAGATAGGACCTGTCACTGAATCCAACTATTCTGTGAATTTACTTTCATACACACAATTTTGGGTGGATCACTAACATGGCCGTTGCTGCCATGCACCTAGTAAGTTTGATTCCACTCCTGTCATTCAACCCAACCCCAGCACCGGTTCCCCTGATGTGGTACTCTTCCACCATCCCTTCCCTAACCCACCCTCGGTGTCTGTACTGGTCCGCCTCCCCAGTCACTAGCTGGCACAACATCCCACATCCTATTCTACATCAGGGGGACTGAGAACATGTGCCCAACACATCCCCTCCAGAAGAAGTCATTACATTCTCAAGTGGCTCCCACTCCACTGCACCTGGGTAGAGAGAATCTAGGCCAGGGTGTTCAGATCCAGAATGCAAGGGGGTTGCAATCCAGTGGTCCAGTTTGGGTCCATCTCTCTAGAAGCAGTGACAGTTAGGGACTGCCTAGAGGTGGGTTGGGGCCAGGGCTGCTGTTAAAGACCCTTTTTCTCCCAGGGGTGGGTGGATGCATGGATAAACTCCTATCACTGAAGAAGAACCAAGACCAGCTTGACATGGGCTATACCTCACTTTCTTACCACTTTACACAGTAGCTCGTCTTGAGGTTTGTGTTCTAGAAGCTGCTGCTGTAACTGCCTGAGTCTTGTACTGGAGGACCTTTTTTTAATACTGTATTTTTGTACAACTTTTTGGAAGAGTATTGTTAAAGATTTGTCTCTTTTGTAAACCTTTTTTTGGGGGGAGTGTGTGCATTGTCCCTGCTGCAGCGTGGAGAGTATGTGTTTGGGGGATGGCGTGTTCCTGATGCCTTTCTAGGGGAGTCCAAGGAGGGTCCTATGTTCTGATTTACTGTTTGGAATTTAAGTGAGAGATTCCTCATGGGATGATGTTAGCTGGGGCCCAGCTCCTCAAGCAGTACAATGGGCTATTGAATGGGGTTTCTCTCTCTCTTGCAATGAGGGTGAAAATTATCCTGTTTGCCTGACTTTCACATATTCCCCAAAAGCAGGCTCTTAGGAGCTGTGCTGCCGAAGATCCCAGGTGTAGCCCAGGACTGACAGCAAGGACTGATCTAATTGCTGCCTGGAGTTACTTTGTCTTTACTAGAAAAGGAGTACTTGTGGCACCTTAGAGACTAACCAATTTATTTGAGCATGAGCTTTCGTGAGCTACAGCAGCTGTGGCTCACGAAAGCTCATGCTCAAATAAATTGGTTAGTCTCTAAGGTGCCACAAGTACTCCTTTTCTTTTTGCGAATACAGACTAACACGGCTGTTCCTCTGAAACCTGTCTTTACTAGGTGGGTAGGCGCCACCTCTTTGAAGGGATCTGATCAGACCTTAACCTCTTTTTTGTTTGCTGACCTACAACTATACTCCCTGAAATAGCATTTGTTCAGCTGGCCAAGTGTTGCCCTTCTCTCCTCCCCACAAGTCTCCCTCTGATGTGAATACTAACCAGTTGACTCAGGGACTGAGGGGGAGAGGAGTAGGACCAGTGGCCTTAGTCTCCCTTGGCACTGGTGGGGCTGACCCTCTACTTTGCAGCAGAGATGCACAGAGCAGCCAGTGAGCTGTCTGGCTCCTAACTGACCTATTGAGAAACTTTAGAGTTAACACTGTGGTCGGATTTAGCACTTTCTTCATTACCTCACACTTCATAAATAAATAAGTTACAAAGACAGACTGGATTGGCTTCTTCCATAGAGTTGTTCTAGGGGGGGTAACTGCCACTTGCAGCTGCCCTAACTAACTTACTTGCCCAGCGTTGAGCCTTCTTGGGGCCCCGTAGAAGGGAACAGTGGGATTGTTATTGCATGAGCGGTTGAGATGAGCTATAAGCAATGCACGAAGCTAAGGAGGGCTGCTGTGACCCAGCTCCCTTTGTGTGGACAGTCTCACAAAATTTAAAATGTGGAATGGCTACAGCAGAAGGTCCTTGGAAACATCACCTGGAGTAATTTCTCTTTAAGTGGTTTTATTGAGGAAGAGGGGCTGAGAGCTGAGTTCCTCTAATGAGGGACTCAATGTAATTTTAAACTCTTCTAATGGCACTACAGAACAGTCAGCATGTGGAATTCACTGCCCCTGAAGGTCATCAAGATGAATATGATGATGAATTGTCAGTGAGTAACTAGAGGAAAGCTCAGATGGGGAATGAAATTGCTTGCTGGGGTGGGAGGGGGGTGAGACTTCCCTTTAGGGGCTACTAAAGAATTCCCTACATCCCCATATGCAGAGTTTGAAATATTTTTTTACCTTAATTTGAAGCATGTTTATTACTCATGAACAATCCCAGGTTATTGGTTTTAACTCCTGGAGGCAAAATCCTGTACTAAATGCAATGGAGCGCAGGCATCATGTTACTGCTAAGGCAGAGTCTAGAATGGGGCCAAAATGCCATTTCAAGAGAGGTTTAGTTGTCTGAATGGAGGAAGTCTTTTAAAGAATGATTAATCAATCAAGAGCTTAAAATGCTCCTTTTGGTTCCTGAAATAGCTGTCATGTTTTACACTTCTATTGTGTGTTGCATCAGATGAGGTCAAAGCATTGTACAGACACCAGAGTTCAACTTTCCGTACTCTGCCGTGACTTGCTAATGGTTACATAGCAAAACTGGGAGTCAAACTCAGGTGTTCTGACTCCTAATCCCTTGCTCTCACCTCTTCACAAAACACTATGGTAAATAATATAGGTTCAAAGTGTCTAGATTTATTTCTACAGGAGTGTTCCAAGGGGCAGGGTGGGAAGGAATAGATGCAAAAAGAACAGGAGTACTTGTGGCACTTTAGAGACTAATAAATTTATTAGAGCATAAGCTTTCGTGGGCTTCAGCCCACTTCATCAGATGCATAGAACTGAACATATAGTAAGAAGTGTGTGTATGTGTATATATACACACACACATAAATACAGAGAAGGTGAAAGTTGCCATAAAACTGTAAGAGGCTAATTAATTTAGATGAGCTATTATCAGCAGGAGAAAAAAACGTTTGTAGTGATAATCAAGATGCACTCTTCAATGAAGCAGTAGTGGGTTGAGTTGATCCTCTTATTCATACAGAGTCTGCTTGTCCCAGAGCATGACAAGAAAAAGATGGAAGGTGGGATTTTTACATGAATCTTTGTGAGTTAGCACAAGTTTAATTGAAAGTCAATGGGGACTTGTGCTGCTAAGCCATTTAGGCACCTAACTCTGATTGATTTCAGTGGCAGTTAGGAGCCTAAATACCTTTGAGGATCTGGGGTTTTAAATGCTTTTGCAAATCTCACCCAGAGACTCCATTTAGTTCAGTTTAGCGGTTGGATCGTACACAGGCAAAAACCAACTTCTGGAGGCAGCATCTCTGTAAAGTAGTGCACTGAGTTGGCTTGGAAGCATAAGTGCTGGAACTAAGGGTGCTGGGGGGGTACTGTCGCACATTCTGGCTTGAAGTAGAAGTAACAAGCCAAATACATGGTTTCTGCCTTCAATATAAAAATGATTTCAGCACCACTGCTCGGAAGGCTACAAAAGTACTGGACCGTAATTAGATGAGACAGCACTGTAAGACCACAGAAGTGGGGTCAGGATAACTTTTAAACCAAAGTGCAAAAGCCTGTAGAGATGTAGAAATTCATTATATGCCTGTTTAGAGGGAGAACAGCTGAGCTAGATCTGGCTAGGGATAAATCTGAGCATATTACAAAAATATTAGGGTTGCATAAAACACTCAGACATCAAATCACAACCCACTGTTGAAGAGGATGGTTAGTGGAGTAAGCATCATGTTTGAAATAGACCCACTGGAAGCACAGGTTAAAAATACATCAGGATTAACTAAACCTGACATCTACTCAGAGCAGACAAACCAAATAAAGTGTGCATGGATGAGTGGGTCTCTTGAATGAAGCTTTCTGTGTACACATTAAAGATGCCAGAGTATTTGTATAAGGATGGTGTTTTGCTCTGTTAAAATTACCTACAGAGAGGTTTTTAAAGGGGTTTCTGGGGTTTTTTTTGGGGGGGGGGGCAGAGGCTTAATGACAGAAGGCATGAAAGATATTTAAATGAAACAAACGAGCTGTTTGTGTTTGGAAGTTACAAGTTGTTCTGGGATCAGTCAATTTGAAATCTAGTCAATTTCAAAACCAAGTTTAAAAGTAAATGTAGATGTTAGACCTGTCCCTGAATCTTCCTGCCATTTTTGTCAGTTTTCAAGTACAGCTTCCTACCCTTAAAAATGCTTTTCCTAGTATTACTACATGAAGGACCCATGGCAACTGACATTAGAAGGTAAATATGGAAACTGACTATACACACAGTGCTGCCAAAAGCCCATAATAAACAAAGGGAGAGCATATTTCCCCCTATAATCTCCTTCAGCAATCAGACTCTCGGGTGTTAACTGTAATAATAGTAAACTGTTACAGACAAAAGCCAAATTTTTAAGTTCACATTGTCCTGTTAACACCAAGCCTTTTAGGGGGTCACCCCAATTCATATTGCATGTATTCTACCATTCCCTGGACCATGCTTTTCTCTGCAGCTGTAACTGGTTTACTACACTCTTGCAAAATTCTTCTTGTACAGGGTGAGTAATTTGTTCTGGGTGAGTAAAGAATCATGTTTTTTTCCATGCTTATCATGCTGAAGGGTGGCGTGTGGGGGTTTGCGCCTGGGTTGGTAAAGTTTGTGACAGTGTGGCAAACCTGCTATAATCTCATCTCCTCCAATGACATGTCTCCTTGCTGCCTCTTGCTTTCCCTGTTGCTATGCCAAAAGATGTATGTTGCTAGGATAAGAGCCATTTCTGCTCCCTCTTCCATATCTGTTGCTGCAGTAGAAGTCACAGAACCCCCTCTGTTACCTTGGTAACAGTCTCCTCCTACTGTTTCCCTGGTAACAGTCTCCCCATCTTTCTCTTCCTTCTTCTCTCTGTTGCTACAGTAACAGTTGCCTGCTCCCCATCTCTCCCTGTTGCCTGTGTTGCAGCTTTAGCTCTTTATCCCTCTGTAGGGCCTGCACTCAGTCACCAGGGTAACATTTCCTCTGTTGCTATGGTAACATTCTCCCACTCCCCCCCCAGTCCGCTTCTCACCTTCCCTTCTACCTCTCCGCTTCCCTGGTGCTAGACTGCCAGTGCCCCCCCCCACCCCATAACTTAGCCTTAAGGGAGACCCCTGTAGGGGCTTCGTGCTCTCACTGCCGGGGGGAAGGTCATGCTCCGGCCCGGGCGCTGGTCTCTAGGGATGGGACATGTCTGGGGGATGGTTACCTGGGGTGCGGTCGGGCGCTGGTCTCTAGGGATGGGACATGTCTGGGGGATGTTTACCTGGGGTACGGTCGGGCGCTGGGTCTAGGGATGGGACATGTCTGGGGGATGGTTACCCGGGGTACGGTCGGGCGCTGGTCTCTAGGGATGGGACATGTCCGGGGGATGGTTACCCGGGGTGCGGTCGGGCGCTGGTCTCTAGGGATGGGACATGTCTGGGGGATGGTTACCCGGGGTGCGGTCGGGCGCTGGTCTCTAGGGATGGGACATGTCTGGGGGATGGTTACCCGGGGTGTGGTTGGGCGCTGGTCTCTGGGGACGGGACAAGTCTGGGGGATGGTTACCCGGGGTACGGTCGGGTGCTGGTCTCTGGGGATGGGACATGTCTGGGGGATGGTTACCCGTGGTACGGTCGGGCGCTGGGTCTAGGGATGGGACATGTCTGGGGGATGGTTAGCCGGGGTGCGGTCGGGCGCTGGTCTCTAGGGATGGGACATGTCTGGGGGATGGTTACCCGGGGTATGGTCGGGTGCTGGTCTCTGGGGATGGGACATGTCTGGGGGATGGTTACCCGGGGTGCGGTCGGGCGCTGGGTCTCTAGGGATGGGACATGTCTGGGGGATGGTTACCCGTGGTGCGGTCGGGCGCTGGGTCTAGGGATGGGACATGTCTGGGGGATGGTTAGCCGGGGTGCGGTCGGGCGCTGGGTCTAGGGATGGGACATGTCTGGGGGATGGTTACCCGGGGTGCGGTCGGACGCTGGTCTCTAGGGATGGGACATGTCTGGGGGATGGTTACCCGGGGTATGGTCGGGCGCTGGTCTCTAGGGATGGGACATGTCTGGGGGATGGTTACCCGGGGTATGGTCGGGCGCTGGTCTCTAGGGATGGGACATGTCTGGGGGATGGTTACCCGGGGTACGGTCGGGCGCTGGGTCTAGGGATGGGACATGTCTGGGGGATGGTTACCCGCGGTGCGGTCGGGCGCTGGGTCTAGGGATGGGACATGTCTGGGGGATTGTTACCCGTGGTGCGGTCGGGCGCTGGGTCTAGGGATGGGACATGTCTGGGGGATGGTTACCCGGTGTGCGGTCGGGCGCTGGTCTCTAGGGATGGGACATGTCCGGGGGATGGTTACCCGGGGTATGGTCGGGCGCTGGTCTCTAGGGATGGGACATGTCCGGGGGATGGTTACCCGGGGTGCGGTCGGGCGCTGGTCTCTAGGGATGGGACATGTCCGGGGGATGGTTACCCGGGGTGCGGTCGGGCGCTGGTCTCTAGGGATGGGACGTGTCCGGGGGATGGTTACCCGCGGTGCGGTCGGGCGCTGGGTCTAGGGATGGGACATGTCTGGGGGATGGTTACCCGGGGTGCGGTCGGACGCTGGGTCTAGGGATGGGACGTGTCCGGGGGATGGTTACCCGGGGTGCGGTCGGGCGCTGGTCTCTGGGGATGGGACGTGTCCGGGGGATGGTTACCCGGGGTGCGGTCGGGCGCTGGGTCTAGGGATGGGACATGTCTGGGGGATGGTTACCCGGGGTGCGGTCGGGCGCTGGGTCTAGGGATGGGACATGTCTGGGGGATGGTTACCCGGGGTGCGGTCGGGCGCTGGGTCTAGGGATGGGACGTGTCTGGGGGATGGTTACCCGGGGTGCGGTCGGGCGCTGGTCTCTGGGGATGGGACATGTCCGGGGGATGGTTACCCGGGGTGCGGTCGGGCGCTGGTCGCTGGGGATGGGACGTGTCCGGGGGATGGTTACCCGGGGTGCGGTCGGGCGCTGGTCGCTGGGGATGGGACGTGTCCGGGGGATGGTTACCCGGGGTGCGGTCGGGCGCTGGTCGCTGGGGATGGGACGTGTCCGGGGGATGGTTACCCGGGGTGCGGTCGGGCGCTGGTCTCTGGGGATGGGACGTGTCCGGGGGATGGTTACCCGGGGTGCGGTCGGGCGCTGGTCTCTGGGGATGGGACGTGTCCGGGGATGGTTACCCGGGGTGCGGTCGGGCGCTGGGTCTGGGGATGGGACGTGTCTGGGGGATGGTTACCCGGGGTGCGGTCGGGCGCTGGTCTCTGGGGATGGGACGTGTCCGGGGGATGGTTACCCGGGGTGCGGTCGGGCGCTGGTCTCTAGGGATGGGACGTGTCCGGGGGATGGTTACCCGGGGTGCGGTCGGGCGCTGGTCTCTGGGGATGGGACGTGTCCGGGGGATGGTTACCCGGGGTGCGGTCGGGCGCTGGTCTCTGGGGATGGGACGTGTCCGGGGGATGGTTACCCGGGGTGCGGTCGGGCGCTGGTCTCTGGGGATGGGACGTGTCCGGGGGATGGTTACCCGGGGTGCGGTCGGGCGCTGGTCTCTGGGGATGGGACGTAGCTGTGCATTGGGTTCTTCCGTCCTAAGTGCAGGACCCTGCACTTATCCTTATTGAACCTCATCAGATTTCTTTTGGCCCAATCCTCCAATTTGTCTAGGTCCTTCTGTATCCTATCCTCCCTCCAGCGTATCTACCACTCCTCCCAGTTTAGTATCATCCGCAAATTTGCTGAGAGTCAACCACACCATCCTCCAGATCATTTATGAAGATATTGAACAAAACCCCCAGGACCGACCCTTGGGGCACACCACTTGATACCGGCTGCCAACTAGACATGGAGCCATTGATCACTACCCGTTGAGCCCGACAATCTAGCCAGCTTTCTACCCACCTTGTAGTGCATTCATCCAGCCCATACTTCCTTAACTTGCTGACAAGAATACTGTGGGAGACCGTGTCAAAAGCTTTGCTAAAGTCAAGAAACAATACATCCACTGCTTTCCCTTCATCCACAGAACCAGTAATCTCATCATAGAAGGCGATTAGATTAGTCAGGCATGACCTTCCCTTGGTGAATCCATGCTGGCTGTTCCTGATCACTTTCCTCTCATGTAAGTGCTTCAGGATTGATTCTTTGAGGACCTGCTCCATGATTTTTCCAGGGACTGAAGTGAGGCTGACTGGCCTGTAGTTCCCAGGATCCTCCTTCTTCCCTTTTTAAAGATTGGCACTACATTAGCCTTTTTCCAGTCATCGGGACTTCCCCGGTTGCCACGAGTTTTCAAAGATAATGGCCAATGGCTCTGCAATCACAGCCGCTAGTTCCTTCAGCACTCGGGTGCAACTCGTCCGGCCCCATGGACTTGTGACGTCCAGCTTTTCTAAAAGTCCCTAACCACCTCTATCTCCACAGAGGGCTGGCCATCTCTTCCCCATTTTGTGATGCCCAGCGTAGCAGTCTGGGAGCTGACCTTGTTAGTGAAAACTACAACTAAACTACAGACTAGGGACCGAATGTCTAGGAGCAGTTCTGCGGAAAAGGACCTAGGGGTGACAGTGGACGAGAAGCTGGATATGAGTCAGCAGTGTGCCCTTGTTGCCAAGAAGGCCAATGGCATTTTGGGATGTATAAGTAGGGGCATAGCGAGCAGATCGGGGACGTGATCGTTCCCCTCTATTCGACATTGGTGAGGCCTCATCTGGAGTACTGTGTCCAGTTTTGGGCCCCACACTTCAAGAAGGATGTGGATAAATTGGAGAGAGTCCAGCGAAGGGCAACAAAAATGATTAGGGGTCTGGAACATATGAGTTATGAGGAGAGGCTGAGGGAGCTGGGATTGTTTAGCCTGCAGAAGAGAAGAATGAGGGGGATTTGATAGCTGTTTTCAACTACCTGAAAGGGGGTTCCAAAGAGGATGGCTCTAGACTGTTCTCAATGGTAGGAGATGACAGAACGAGGAGTAATGGTCTCAAGTTACAGTGGGGGAGGTTTAGATTGGATATTAGGAAAAACTTTTTCACTAAGAGGGTAGTGAAACACTGGAATGCGTTACCTAGGGAGGTGGTAGAATCTCCTTCCTTAGAGGTTTTTAAGGTCAGGCTTGACAAAGCCCTGGCTGGGATGATTTAACTGGGAATTGGTCCTGCTTCGAGCAGGGGGTTGGACTAGATGACCTCTGGGGTCCCTTCCAACCCTGATATTCTATGATTCTATGATTCTAGGATTCTAGGACGTGTCCGGGGGATGGTTACCCGGGGTGCGGTCGGGCGCTGGTCTCTGGGGATGGGACGTGTCCGGGGGATGGTTACCCGGGGTGCGGTCGGGCGCTGGTCTCTGGGGATGGGACGTGTCCGGGGGATGGTTACCCGGGGTGCGGTCGGGCGCTGGTCTCTGGGGATGGGACGTGTCCGGGGGATGGTTACCCGGGGGACGGTCGGGCGCTGGTCTCGGGGATGGGACGTCTCCGGGGGTGCGGTCGGGCGCTGGTCTCTGGGGATGGGACGTGTCCGGGGGATGGTTACCCGGGGTGCGGTCGGGCGCTGGTCTCTGGGGATGGGACGTGTCTGGGGGATGGTTACCCGGGGTGCGGTCGGGCCCACGCTGGGCCCCCCTCGCGTGGGGCTCTGCACAAGCCCCTAGAAACAGGGCCCTGCCCCGCAGAGCGGAGGACGCCATTGAGTCCTAGACTATCAGGGTGGGAAGGGCCCGCGGGAGCTCATCTAGTCCAGTCCCCTGTCCGAAGCAGGACCAATCCCTCATTTTTGCCCCCGATCCCTAAACGGCCCCCTCAAGGATCGAACGCGCGAGCCCGGGTCTAGCAGGCCCCGCTCACGCCACTGCGCTCCCCCTCCGCCCCGGCTTAAGGTCCCCAGCCGCCCAAGGGGCCCCCTATTAATTATGGGGGGGGGGATATTCCTGTGTGGGGCTCAGCCGGGGAGCGGGCCGCGAGGGGGGGCCCGGTGGGGAGAGGGCCTGGCTTGGCTGGGAGAGCCCCACCCGCGAGGCCCAGGGGCTCAGCCCTGCCCCCTCCCCCTCGGGCCCTCCCCTTCTCCCGCCCCCCCACAGCCCGCCATGGCCGCGGCCGCCGCCGCCGCGCGCGCTCCCTCTCCGGGCCCGGCCGCCGGGCGCTGCCGCTGGTGGTGATCCTGGGAGCCACGGGCACCGGCAAGTCCGACCTGGCGCTGCAGCTGGGCCTGCGGCTGGGCGGCGAGATCGTGGGCGCCGACTCCATGCAGGTAGCGCGGGGGGAGGCCGGGAGGGGGGCTCGGAAGGGATCGGGGCCTGGCCGGCGCGGGGGCGGGGAGAAGGGGAGCGATCAAGGCCTGCGGAGCCGGGGCCTCCCGCAGGACGAGGGGCCGGGAGAGCCGGGGCCCCGTGAGGGGATGGGGGAAGGAGCGAGCTAACCGACGCTGCATCGCAGAGGGGGAGCCAGGAGACCCCCAGCTACTGCCCCCGCCCCTACCCTGGTTCTGGTTCTCGGCTTTGTGGGGTGAACTCGGGCAGGCCCCCCAAAGACCCACTCCAGGTGGGGGGGGGGGGTTGCTCTCGCTCCGCAGCTCTCCCCGCCGCTGGGGCCCCTTATTGTTTGTTAAGTACCGTACATGCCACGCTTCACTCTGGTTTGCAGCCGGGAGACCCTGGTGTGGCTTCCCCTAACTCACCGAGGTGGGTGCAACACCCCCAGTTACACACACACCAGAGGGAAATAACCCCACCAGGCTGACTGGACCGTGTAATTGCAGTTTTTTTTCTAAGAGCCGACACTTGCTTACTTAAGATGTGCTAGGTGAAACAACCTGGAGAGCTTTCTGTTCAATCAAATGAAATTTCCCTGTCTGTGAAATATACGGCAAGTGTCTTTTTAAAAAAATGAACTTGCCTGCTGAATAGAGGCTCTGGGTTCATGTTTACAAGCTGGGAAAGCCTCAGCCTCCAGTGGCTGCCCAGATGTGCTCTTGAGAATGACCCCTGGCCTAGCCCAAAACAGGGCCTGGAAACTCTTAGGATAGGAATCAACACATAACTTTAAAACTGTTTGGGACGTCTTTGTTCTCTGTTCACCGGATCTTGGTGCGATCTCTAAAAACAAGCCAAGTTTGACTTTTCTACCCTCTGCAGTTTTTTGAGTGACTAAGATTTCTCATCAAGATCCTGGGGGGGAGGGGGAGTGCGAGCTGTTTCTTTGTTTTTTAACGCATGCATACTCAAAAATGGTGGGACTGATTTTGTTCAATTCCCGCCCCGCCAAAAATAATTTCACCTTTGGAATGAGACTGGGCCTGGACAGTTGAAACCCAAAAGGAATCAGTATGAGAAGTAATGAGCTCAGGGAATGCAGAATGGAAGTTGAACCTCACATGAGCTGTAGCTCACGAAAGCTTATGCTCAAATAAATTGGTTAGTCTCTTAGGTGCCACAAGTCCTCCTTTTCTTTTTGCGAATACAGACTAACACGGCTGTTACTCTGAAACCTGTCATGCTTGCTCTTATAAGCACTGCTTCCAATCAGGATCCGCTAGCATGGACTCTTGGGCGTTTGTTGTGTCTCATCAAAGTGAATAAGGCTCTGCAGAGCACGTGAGACCTCCTTAAGTGAATCCCAGTGCAAGGTCAGGGTCTTACAATGTTAAATAAAACAGGATAGTAGCTCAAGGCCCTGTTCCTGCACTGAGCTCTGTGTAGGTGGTCTCCTGTATTTGCATGGAGCCCTGTTACTCTGTGGGGGGGTGGGGTCTGTCACTGGAGAGGTCATTGTAGGAGGAGGGTCCAAATGAAGATAATGATCTAATTTGGAAGCTCAGTTGGTGGGCTTCTATCACTGCTTATTAAAGGGACTGGCTGGATAAATAGGCTTGGCAGAATTCAAATGTTATATTTTTATAATTTTGACAGATAATATGCTTATTTTAAGCAGTTTTTCTATTTTCATCTATTTGCATTTTCATATTGCGGAAAATTATAGGTTTTAAGTAATTTTATTTTCAATTTTTATCAATTTAAATTTTCACATACATTTTTTGAGGGAGGGTCAGACAATAATTATTTAATATCAGTAGATGTTGAGATTCAAAAAGTTAAAGTTTATAACTGTTAAAACACACATTGCCAACATCACATGTCAAATTCTACAAAGTAAATATCCTTAAATCAAAGTCTGACAAGTGTTCAAGCAGCATTTTTCTTCTTTTGCCTATCTGAAAATTTCTGTTATCATTGGAAATACTTTTTCTTGTGTGTGTGTGTGGTAAAATCAGTGTTTACTGACATTTACCAACAAAAGACGAGTCCTTTTTAGCCTAAAGATAAATAATATTATAAACAATTCCTTATTAGTCGCTAATGACACCAGAGATCATGAAAGGGACAATGTCATCTTAAAAATCCCATGTAAGCAAATTCATTTCTTTAGCTATCTTACTTATAACATCTTAGTTTATTACAAATGAAAGATGTTAATGCTTCCATTGTACCTGTCACTGTGTTTTATTTACTTTTTGGATTTCTGTTAGCTTGTACAAGGAAAATCAATGAAGTAAGTTTTGCTTTTGTTTAGAGTCTCTTTCACTGAGGTTCATAGTGTTGTGATGTTTGGATTTAAAACACTGCTTTAAATTACTTTACATTTTTTCATCGTTTTGTATTAAATTGTGGCAATATTCTGATAAGCTTCTTTTTTACAGTATTTTAATTTGGTGCCAAATTTAAGGTGTTGGTTTTTACCTTTTAATCCTGAAATAATTTTTTAAAACTGTGAATGTGTTTCCCTCCCATCTTTGCTATTGTTTGTTGTCTTTTTGCACCTCACTCAGTTTAGATGTTGAAACTGGACTTGTTGTTTTTACTTTCTGGTTCTTGTGTATTAACTCATGGCTGCTGTTTGGGTTCTGAACACGGAAGGGGGGATAGTCTAGAAACTCTTTCTACTGAATTTAAAACAAATAATGAAAACGCTTTTGCTCATATGGGAGTTTTTAAAATGCAGGGAGGTGGGGCTGGGGAGTCTTAGGCCTGAACTAAGTTGGCATGACCAAATGAATGTAACACTTGTGAAGCTTTGTGCAGCATTGTCATGGTGTCTTTGAGCTACCATCAATTCAAGCGCTTGACCTAGCTATGTTAGAAAGCCACATGGGTGTGGAAATATCTGCTGGAGTCACAAGGTGTCTTAGAACAGTTTTTAGGAGGCCAAGCATATTCCTGGTGAATGGTCTGCTAGTCCTTTAGAACGGTTGTTATAACATTTGGGGTTCTGACTCCATGGTAGATCGTAGAGGGAGGAGGTAACCTATTTTCTCTGGAATCTAAGGCCCTGTCTAGGTTAGTGCAAGTTAAGTTATTGGGGATAAATCTCTAGCATAGTGTCTTCATTAGGGGTTTCTACGAGTGTCCCAAAGGCTACGTTTCCACCATGAGCCAGGGGTTTGATTCCTCTGCCCGCACACACCTACTTGCGCTAGTTCTCATTGGGCTAGTAGGAGTATAAATAGCAGCATAGCTGCGGTAGCCTGGCTGGTCCAGGTAGCTCTGCCGTGACTTCTGCAGTCTTGGCTACACTGCGATTTGTGCTCAGGCTAGCTTGCTGGGTGCTCGCTCGGGTATGTGTAGACGTAGTGTATACGGTACAAATGTTTCCAGTCTAAACAAGCCCGGAGCTCTCACTGGAATGATTCTAGCCCAGCTAGCCATGAGGAAAGCTTTGCAAGGGTAACGTGCAATGATCAAATGAATGTGCGCTGGATGTGAATGCCGATTTAGGGCACAGTGAACTTGAACGAGCTATTGGGTCCTGGGACTTGTTTTGGCCGGCGTAGCAGAAATGAGTCTGAGTCATGGGGGTCACAGGAGGAAAACTGAGTGTTGTGGGAGGGGGAAACCATTGGCACCCCTGTTTTAGGAATACGGCAGGTTTTTTATGGCCAAGGCGAGATGTTTCTGCTCATGGAAGTCAATGGGAAAACAAGAGATCCTGGCTCTGTCTTGACTTCTCTGTTTCTCTGCAGAATTGGCTGGGACTGGCTGCCACAGTTTGAGGCTTCTAGATGTTCTGGGACCTGAACTATAGTTTGTGCCCTGGTTATCTCCGTTGCCCCTGTGGGAATGGGTCTACTCGGAAAATTCTGACGCCAGGCAGCCAGTGGAATCCAGGCGCTCGCTGTCGGCCTGCTTTCCTTTGAACCTCATCCTAGCGGGACTACGGAGGGAGAGCGGAGCAGCTCTGCTGCTTTTATCCTGTAATGCGGCCTGCTCTCCGCGTGGCCCCTTGAGGCTGCCAGACACCGGGGCAAAGGGTGCGTCTCGGAGGTACTGGGCAGCCTGAAGGCATAGTGTTGATTGGACCTTGTGTCCCACACAGCATGGTGGCTCTCGTAGGCATTAGCAGTTGGAAGGATGCGTCTCCCTTCTTTCTGGTATTGTTCCTGTGGCACGTGCCTCCCCCCGCTGGGTGTCCCAGAGCTGGCTGTAGCATTCAGGCTGAAGGATCCTGGTGAGTTGCTGCTTAGGGCTGAGTTTGGGTTTCTCTGTCCCCGTCCCTCGTTCCTAATTGACAGCCACACATTAACGCGTCTATCCAGTCACGGAAGGCACCCAGCAAACATCTAACGAATGCTGCCAGTGTTTAGGCAGCTGTTTGAGTCAAAGCAGTGCCCCGAGACCACCTGCTCTGGTGATAGTGTGGCCAAGGCCTGGCTCACAGGGACCCTTGTATTTCACAAGTGTTCTTGGTGCCTGTGGATCCTGGTAGCTGAGTTATGGATTCACAGCCCCCTCTTTGCGTGGCTCAGGATGTCAGGATCATCTAAAGGGGCTTTTACTTTTTTCATTCTGTCTTGTCATTTCCCTTGGTTTTATAATCCTAATGAACCTTCTTTAAGAGTAACGGCAGCTCTCTACGGCTGCCCCGGAGAAAACAGACACCTACCAGGTGCTTTGCGAAGGGAGTGCTTTGTTGTAACCCTGTTTGCAGTGCCAGCTAATGGGAGACAGCTGAAGAAACAAGTGGGCCTTTCACATCAGGCTGCTGAGTATCCTTTCTCCCCATACCGCATGTGGGGAAAATTCCCAGCCAAAAACTTCATGCCCCTCTTCAGAATTGTATCTATCTTAGGTACTCAGATGGCCCTGTTACCATGGGGTCTGAGCAAGCACCTCCCAATCTGTAACTTTATCCTCACACACCCTGCTGAAGTAGGGAAGTGCTCTTTTCCCCATTGTACAGATGGGGAAGAAGGAGGCT